ATCAGTCTTTTGATTTTGGCGGTTTTTTCAAATTCTGTTGCGAAGTTGCAGGAGCACGACTACACAGTTGTGTCCATCCAGATGAGACAACATAGGGCATAATTAATATCTTGTTAATTATTACAAAATTGCAAAATGTTAGAGGACTTTTCGACTTAGTCTAGTTCATTTTATCAGCACATGAAATATTTGACAGTCATTTTGAGATACACTGTATATTATTTCAAATTAATCATTTAGTTTATTATATAATAACTGAACAATAACATATTTCTTGCTTCCATTCTAAAACTTCCCCCTTTTATTTTAGATAATCACATATAGAAGAAAGTTCTGTAGTAAAATGACCAGCTCCTAGTATCGACCAAAACTAATTTTCACTTATCCCGTTAGATAATAGCGTTATATGTGCATGAGAGGATGCATCCTATTGTTTTATCCGTTGTATGCGTATTACTACATCGTAGGGAATGTTGGGACAGCGTGTCTAATGAACGCTGAAAAATTTATCTTTCAGAGCTAATTTCTTGTTTTTCAAGTTAAACGATTCAATTAAAAATGATTTTGTTGCATTGCGTGCATTATAGTTAGACTATTAGCTGTAAGAAAATAATATGACCATTAATATAACCATTTTCTTTATACAACATCGCAAAATAGACAAAAATGTTTTGTGTTGTTTTTCCTGTAGCACCGATTTACTGTTGCGTAGTACTGACCAATATGTAAATAAAGTTTTTAACCCTTGAACTGTAACATTCGAAAAATCACGTACGTATATATGTACATATGTATGCATATATGCATGCATGCACATATAGTATATGTATAGCCCTCATCTTCAGAAATGTCAGCTAAAGCATTTTTTATGCAAAAATTTATTTTGTCAGGTTCTTTGTAATTTCTTAGACGCAGTTGTCGAGTTGCCATAAAATTACTAATAAAATAAAATTGAATCATAAAATCTTTTCTCTTGTTACGTTATGAACTGTAACAAATTTAAATATTTTTGCGTTTATGAACTATTGTGTTAGGATGTAGCGGTTCTTGTTACTATCCCATCGCTGTCACCAGAGATGTTACGTATTCTTATGTTAAGAATGACTAATAGTGTAGATTGCACACTATTATAATAGCACGGATTGAATATTTTTGCGTTTATGAATTACCTTTCGCACTCGCGAGATGCCTATTTATCTTATGATCTGCGGTTTGGTGTAAAATTCTTATGTCATATTGTGAATCGCGTCGCTGCCGAGCGCGGAGGGGGAAGAGAGAGAGAGAGAGAGAGAGAGAGAGAGAGATCCAACGCGGCGCGCGAGATAGGACATAGGATTGAAAGAGTGGCGGAGTGTTTATTAGAGTAGGGGAGATATGATCAGAGTGAGTCTCAGGTCGAGCGGGAAACCATAAGATTTCTAGCGCCGGCGTATCGCATGCTACAAGAGAGTCCTCTATAATGATTGATCTATTATAATCGATTTAGAATTTTAGATTAATAATTGGAATTCGGCACTATTCTTTATCAATGAGGAAGTGAATTATTAATTTAATAATTTAGAAAATATGCTTCAAATTATATCATTATTGCTAGTGTTCAATAAATAATTGTAATAGTAACAAAAGGTCAAATTGATTAGTATTCATTTAGCAAAGAAATTAATAATAGATCCGAGTAATTCAGATCTTTCCATTGTTTCATACCCTTTAAGTAAGGAATAAGGGGAAGAATTGAGTAAGACAGAATATAACGCTAAATAAGTATTTATGTTTTTATTGATGAGATATCAAGTTGACTCCGAATGAATTAAATTGTACCGGGACATCGGAGACGATCAGGGGGCAGCACGGTGGCCCGTGAGTATTCGGGACCTGTTTAGCGACAATCACAGGACGCGTGTTTCCTCTTTTAGTCATTCTGTGGGAAGTGTTTTTATTACATTACCGACAGTTAGTTGAATAATTGCATTAAAGAAGCAGAATTAGAAATTAATTGTAGAGGAAGCAGATAGTAGTGAAAGGAAGAATTGAACAGCTCCTATAAACGTGGTCAATTCCGAGAGGAGAGGGTAGAGTAAGCAGTTCTTACAAGCGCGATTAGTCCAGGAAAAGAGGGAAGAACTGAGCAGCTTCTACAAGCGCGGCCAGCCCGAGGGGTAAGGGAAAAGGAATTGCTTGAAAGAAATAAACATGCGTACTTTCTTCTTTTTTTTTTGATATATTGAGAGATATTCCGCTTGTGATTCTGATCTATTCATCAGATTAATCTGATCAAAAATGACCGCGGGTTCGATTTTTGCCCCGTTTATATAGACGCCAGTCAATGGCGCTTGCAAGTCGAGAGGAACGGGGAGCTCGAATTTTCCGAAATTGATAATACGTGCCAAATTTGGAAAATGATTTTTCATATGGAAATATTAGTTACATTAGGCTGAAATTCGGTACGGTTGCCACGAATTCAATTTAGAACTGAAGGATCAAATTAGGTTCGCGTTAATTGATGGAATTTTAAAGTAATTAACGAATTAAATTTTGGGCCTTCTTCGTGAAGGCCCAAAATGATCTGCGCTGCTCTTTCCTTGGCGCTCACAAATTCGCGTTTACTTATCTGTTTAAGGCTAATTAAGGCGGTCACTATGGCCAAAAGATAGTAAATCAAACAACACACAAAAAATGTATTAAATATAACGCGAGACTTCGAAATTAACAGTATTCTTAGCCAGAGCGGCTGAAATTCCACAAAGAATTTGGAATGACGAGCGATACGCGCGTCGCGGGCCGTGATTGATATGCAATAGCTTATTCTTATTCTGAGAGATTAAGCGTCGAGATTTCGATCGGATTAATTTTTCTTAAACCTCGCAGGATAATAATGACAATCCCAATATATGGAAATGATTCCTTAGCTCCGCGTGGAGTTATTCTGTCTGGAATTTCGTCGCAATACATCAGCACGCGGCATGCGCTTCTGGGGTGCTTTGATTGCGACACATGTGTCACGTGGTGTCGGCATGACAAAATCATACCACGCCGAATAAGTTTCTTGCTAGGAATATCCGCAATTAATTAATAGAAATACTTTAGATAGACGATGTGAGATTAAATAATGAAAAATAATTCAACGCGAAACGAAAAGACAAAAAAAAGAAAGTAAAATTATATTTCTACGGAGGGCATGACATAACACTTTAATCTCAGAATATAACAGCACACCAGTAAATAAGACTTAAAATGTAAATAGCAGTAGCTATTCGTTTTTGTTATACCGTTTTTGTATTATTTTCTTATCAGTTTGTTGTTTTACATCCTTTTTCATGTTCTTCTCAGTTTATTTTCTTCTTTTTTCCTTCGTATTATATGTCAAGGAAGTTGTTTACAAGTTAAGTTTTAACATCGATCTATGAGATCGACGTTATAGTTTAAGGATTTATCTATTAGTAATTAAAATTAAAATAAAATATGTTCATTTAACTTTTATCTACAATTCTACAATTCAAATGAACTTTTCGTTACATTATTAGACATTTTCACCTAAAAATGAACTAAACTTATAGCTGGTCGATATTACAGAACGATTTTTCTCCAACTTCATATTCTAACCTTTTCCTTTTTGCTAATTATTATCCACATTTTGATAAAATGACTTTCGTCCTTTAAGCACGTTTTCGTCCTTAAGAACTACAAATAATTTTGTTTTAATTTTCGTTAAGTTCAGCCTAAGATATTTTAAAAACTTAAGGTGATCGATAGTACAGGATTTTCCCTTACATATACAGGGTTGGTCATATTCGACGGAAAGATGTTTTTTTTTTCAATCATGGGAAACGTCGTTACTCGATCTAACATCTCTGTCAAAAGTTACAGTGTTGCCAGATCTTTCCGACGAATATGGCCAACCCTGTAGGTGGGCATACAATATATACTGCTCAAAACAATTATGACATAGAAAAATTAATACGTAAATTGATCAACTTTGACTGACGATAACTTTGTGATAAATTATCGTAGAATAAGGTTCTCTTTTTAATTGAAGCTTGAAATTTTCTTTAAGACGCTATAGCCAGATTTTAAGTTTAACGTACCCCTACCACTGTAACTCTGAGGGTGTGCTTGTCATATTGAAAATTGCAAAATTTGACGGAATACACCCTCCCGTGATAATGAAATAGAAGGAAAAATCATTATTCTACGATAATTTTTCGCGAAGTTATTGTCAATCAAAGTTAATCAATTTTGGCCCAAAATTTTTCTGTCATAATTTTTTTGAGTAATATATAGGGTGTTCTAAAAATAATGATAAATCTTTTGCAAAGGAGTAGAATGGACTAAATTGAGAAGAAAAATCCTCTATTTTGTAATTTTCGCAATAGTTAACAAAATATTAATTGCTAAAAATGGCTGAAAATTGGCTTCAATAACTTTTTTAACTCAAATACTATCAACTTTACAAAAAAACTGCAAGAGACAAAAATTATTTCCTTCTGATAGAGCTCTAAGTATTTTTTTAGAACTTTTTATCAACTTTTTAGTACTGCATTTTCTTATTTTTACCAACAGAGAAAATACGGTATTAAAAAATTCTGAAAAACTTCTAGATTTTTACAGCTCTTTCAGAAGAAAATAAACAATTTTATTACATATATATGTATATGTATGTAAATATATATATATATATATATATATATATATATATATATATATATATATATATATATATATATATATATATATATATATATACGTCATCCTCCCGAATAAATCCAGGGTCCCGACTTTTTTGAATATTTTGTATTTGTGTATATATTATATTATTTGTTATATATTATATTATTATACAGTTAAGATAAGTAATTATAAACTTTTTCCTGTTTTATTTTTTAAAATAGTCATAATCATTTTTTATAATATGTCAGATTTTTTTAAGGTTTTTTTTAATGATTCAATATATCCTTCCACTTTCTATCGCATTAATAGAAGCGATTACGATTATTTTATTTCAGAACAGGGCACCTTGACGATAGTACGTCGAAGTTCCAGCAAAAGCAAAAGCGGGAATTTCGAAAATTCACCACCGCACAATCCTGATACTTCGTATTTATCGAGCCAATCTGTCGATCTTGAAGAGATTCTCGATAACGTCGATCTCACGACGGATTCTCTTCCTGCGGTTGACACACCCGATGCATGCGATAAAGCTGCCCTTAGGTATTCTATTATAAAATATAATGTAATGTTATGCTAATATTAATAGTTTTGCTAATGTTTAATATTTTAGATCTAGGGATAGAGATTTATTAATTTTGGATATAGATAATCCGCAATTTTCTGATCATTAATGCACAGAATATCTGGAGACATGATAATGGCGCTAAAATAAACGAAGCGCGAGATACTGCCGTGCTCCTTTACGCGATTGTAATTTATATATCAATGTTTCGTATTGAATAATCATAATTAGAGCACATTTTTACAATATTCGAGCGCTAATATATCGCAATTATTAGCAATTGTGATTTATAAATTATATAAATAATATGATAACTATTTATTGTTAGCTTATTAAATTTAATCATGTATAATTTTAATTATCAATTGCATGTTAATTATGATTTTTTTGCAAGATATATTTATAACGTTTTGTAACTATCGCGCGCTAAATATTTTGTATTTAATGTAAGATTAGACTCGCACGTCAAAGAAAATATTCCTTTAATTCCTCCTCTAAGGATTAAATAGACTTACATAATTGCATTCGCAATCCCGATTTGTCGTGTAATTATTGAAAAGCGATGGAAATAACGTTTAGTTTAAAAGACACGCTATTGATGCACAGGAAACGACTCCGTGATATCTCTCTTTTGTAGATTGAGGTGTTTATTGAGGCAATTACAACATGGGGAGATATCCGCTGAATTACTTCAACGAAATTTGCACTACGCAGCTCGCGTACTCGAAGCTGTTTTTATCGATGAGACCAAGTAAGTTTCTTTTCGAGTGAGAATTTCAAACCTCTCATGTACGCGAATGGAAAGCAATAGTCTCTGTACTAATCATAATCTGTAATTATTTCAAGTATTCCTGCTTTTTTACCAAAATTTGCAGGCACTGACAGCATTCTACATAATGATTTCACTATCCTAAATCTTGCGATTAATAATAAATCTCTTTTGTAGACAACATTGTCTATACCATAGTTGTTGAATATCTGACAAAAATAAGATTAATATATATTAATTTATTAGTATAATATATTGTAGTTGATTAGTATAATATATTGTTATATTAAATAATATAATTTATTAATGCGGTAGCATTTGGATGTCGATACATGAACGCATATGTATAGTCAACTGTTTTCGCATTTTACGCGATTAGTAATTGTTGATTGATTCGATTTCACGAAACATGTTTGCAGCGGAGTTGACTATATTAATTATCGGTCTATTTCGTTATTTATTATGGAGTCATGACCTTCAACACGACACTATTTCTTCCCATTTGCTAGGTACAACTGAAATTCAATGTTTCATGTTAATTTCGTAATGAAAACATTGAGAACTTTTTGTTTTCGCGATGCGTCGTGTCAGATGAAACTCACAACCCCTGTTCAATTATTGAACGACCAAAGATTTAGCTAACCATAAAGATCAAAAGCTATTTCCCTGAGGGATCAATTGTATAAGGCATATAAGCGGTAAATCTTCGAATGCGATATTAGAGAGTCCATGTGTTTTTTAGCTTCGACAAATCGCACGTAATATTATCCATCAGAATTCTTCCTCGGATCCCTCCTGTAGATTCGCCTAAGAAAAATTGCCTCTTTAGTAAGCTCATGGTAAATCACTGATCTTGTAAATCAGGGGTTGTAAGTTCACTCTTCACAAATAAATTTTCTTCTACTACAGTTTTACGTGTTATTACAGCTCGTTTTATGCATTTCATAGAGTCTGAATTAAGCGCACTGTACTCACTACTTTTGATGATTTGTCATTTCGACCTCTTACTTTGTTATTTGTACGGCTGAATCGCATGATTTTAAAATTTCTACAAATTTGCCTAATAATTTCAATTAAGATGCGCGTTTTTATGCTTAAAATTATATTTGTCTAAATGAACACACAGTTTTATTTCATTTTTCTAACATGCTTGAAAAATTTCTATCTATGATATGTTATTTGTTTTAAGCGTCACGCATTGTATAGTAAGCGTCATTGATGTCTTCCGGCTTAAAATTTATAGTTTTCTCCGATCGTACACATATCTATTAAAAAAAAAAGAAATTTACTTCCATTATATAAAGGAAACAAAGAGTGGTGGCAAATTTTGTCTATTTTTTTTGGACTTCGAATTTCAAATTTTTTTTATGGTAAATAGTATTATTAGATGAAACACATTAATCCCAGTAAAATTTAAAGATGAGCATAGGTACGGTTCCGGAGATACAAGGGGGCGAAAGTGATGATTTCTAGTCAGGACATAAGGAAGAATGTGTGGCTGAAATTTATTGATAATATTCTGTCGAATGGATCATTTTTGATGCAAAAGTTCAATCCAAAGCTGAAGCACCCGTCAGCAGCTTTCAACTATGAGAAGTATGGCATTTCCGTTAAAGAACCTATATTAATTAAGGCGCATATGAAAGCTCGTTACCATGATAGTAAATATCACTACATACTTGTTTTGATAGATAAAGCAAAAATTGAACGGGATTCTATTCGTGAGTACTATTATGCTTGTGAAAGTAGTGCTCGGATTATTGCAGTCATGTAATAACAATTGTGATTCCTTGGATTTGCTCAATACTATGGGATAAAAATACCCAATTCTGAAATATGCAATGTATCTATCACGATTTACAAAACAATAGTTGCATAGCGAGAGACAAGGGGACTCACATTAAAAAAGCATTCCGATTTGTGAGAGGCTACGTCAAGTGTCACTTTTCAACTTCATCTATCTCAGGAAATTTTCGAGACGAAAACTAAGGTCATATTTGAATCCGGTATAAAAAAAATCTATAAAAAATGATATGTTCACTTCATTAAATATATATTTTATTTATTCCTTGGTATGGACACTTGAAGAGTTTCGTGTACTTTCATGGGTTATGAGAAACCATCACTTTCATCCCTTCATATCTCCGGAACCGTGCCTATGCTCATCTTAAAATTTCTCTAGGATTAATATTACATCATGAAGTACTATTTGGCATAAAAAAAAGTTTGAAATTCGAGATCCAAAAAATGGGCGAAAAAACACGCCATCACTCTTTTTTTATTTTAATAGTATATGATATGTATGATCGGAGGAAATTATCAATTTCAAGCCGGAAGGCATCAATGATGCCTATTGTACAAGATATGTGCGATATGTACATACATCAAATGCGTGATGTACTTGCATCTTTATATACATCTCTCCGTCTCGAAGATTATGAAGAAATCTTCGAGTTGAAGATTTCGAAATTGAAGCTAAATGCTTGATCTTTTTTCTAATTTTTTGCTCACACAATTGCGACAATGTGTACATACAAAAAAAAAGTGATTAGTTCGCTTATATATCTCGCATATCCTTTATTTTCAGCAACGATACTATCCAGCCATGAAGCACGACGCATCGAGTAATATCTTATTTTATTCTAACTAGCTTTATTGCAACAAATTCCTAAATTTATTACAACATAAAAGACAAGAATCGATGAGAATGCAGCAGTGCGATGCCGTAGCATAATATAAAAAAAAACACATGAAATAAATGAGAAAAAGAAAGTAAAAAAAATTAAAACACTGTAATTTTGTATTATTCTAATCTTTTTTACACATGAACTAACAAGCACTACCGCAGGGTGAGTTCAGGCGGGAATGAGTGCGCTCGGTCATCACGTAGGGGGGCGGGCCTGACGTCTTCATCCCTAGGGGGCGGCTTGGACCCAGATGGACCACAGGGCCATGCGGTGGTAACCCAGAAACGGAAACTTCGCACCCCCGTATGGGCAAGGTTGCGAAACATTCACATTTCCAACCCTTTACGATCCATGTTCGATTCCATACAATACGATCCTCTGATTCTTCTTCGTTTTCTATTTGCCCTATTTGTCGATTTTCCCACAGTTCGCACCGTACCGTGCCGCTCTTTGTCGTCCTCTTTTTCGAACGATAGATTTTTGTCTTAAGAAGTTAGATGTTCTCTTTCTTGAGAATAAACGTTGGTAATCACGGCGGCGAGCGACAATCATGAATTTTGTCTATGTAATATAGAAATATGTAATATTGAGATAATTGTTCTATAATATTTATAACATTTAAAATCAATGAACAACATAAGTGCCAAATTTTTAAATACTTTTTGTATATTAGGAATGTTATTTTTAGCATCTAATGGATATTTTCTTCCCTTTAATCATTTAAAGCAGCGATATGGACGATCATTAGTGATATAAATGATAATTAATTAATACAATTTTTATTACAAGCGTAAATAAAATTACACGATTCTGTTTCTATTATTATTATTACAAGTGATATTTTTAAGTAATTTTGAAATGTTTGCAGATATCAAAGATTATTTAAATATCAAAATGTTAATACTGAATATTGATAGCGGGTAAAAATTCTTAAACTTGGAAAAACGAACAATTTATTATATTATAATTCAGTAATTAAATTTTTTGTTATCTATAATCTATAGCGAATTGATTATAAAACTTTGAGAATATACAGAGAATTAAAACAAAAACAAGTTCGATACATACATATTTTATTATTCACTGTAATAAAAATCTTCTATTTGTTATTTCCAATATTTTATTTTACATCACATTTAATATTTTATATAACATTTTATTTGCTCTTTATCGATCGTTCTCAGTATTCAATTAACCGCTGAATGTCAATCTGCCAATATTCATCATTGGCATGAATTTTGTTCACACACGATTAACAATTAATCAGTGTCATAGAGAAGTGGCGATGATTTTCAAGATATTACATTTCGAGTTATATCTTTTCTTCGGGCTAAATCAAATAAAAAAATGTAATTAAAATTATAATAATTGATAGATTTTTATTAAACAAATTGTTTTAACAAGTTATATAAAAATATCTTATTTTATGTTGGCATTCTAAGAATGAATCTGGACACAGAGAAAACCTGCGAAACGCATAATCTTTATAATATCTTATCTTACATTTTCTTTTTTAGGCCGATATTTTAAGATATTTTTTGTGAAGAATTCAAGATGTCGCTCTCCCCTGTAAAAATATCGATTACTAAGTGGAACGCGTTAACATTTCTTGATCTTTTAATTGGTAGTTCTTTCGAACGTTTCTAGATTAGTTGATGTTAGCACAAAAACTGAAACACATAAAATAGTCATGCTAGTGACTTTAATTAGTTCTTTAATAAGCATCTTCGTAGTTCAAGAACTTATTATTATTTTAATTATTTTATATCTGATAGTCTCACAATATAAAATTCGCATGTTTATATAAATTGTTGTGAGTAGACGATTTTCTTAAACAATATTATTAAAGATTACACAGACATTTGTCAGTTTTTTAGGATTATTGATGTATATTATTACAGTATTGTTAATATTTAATCAAAGAACTTTGCGTATGTTACATATGAATAAATACAGAGACAATTATATTTAATTGTTTTGCATTTTTACCATGAAAGTATTTACTACGAAAACATTTGTTTCGCAACATGTAACGAATAATTGGATACACACAATATAACAAGAAAAATCAATCCTATAACCATAGTTACCGAATTACGTTTATCAATTTATTTATTTTTATTTCTGCATCTCATATACGATCGTTGAGTCTTGCTAAGAGGCTAAATCGATAAGGATTGATCGACTATGAGGATTAAATGACATTTTTTAACACAGCATGGAAATGTTTTTCTTGTCTTCTCTTTCTCTCGCTCTCTCTCTCTCTCTCTCTCTCTCTCTCTCTCTGTCTCTCTCACACTGTTTTTGTTTCTAGTTTACATCTTTTCTAGATTCCTTCTAGGTGTAACTTGCTCAATTTGTTGGACGTATCTGCCTGCCGTGCAACATGCATCGTTCTCATGATAATCGACCGTTTCCTACTGGCACTATTCTTGCCCGAGAAAAGTGCATGTATACATATATGTAGGACGTTTATCGCCGGGTGGTCCTCAAGCATCCCCTATAAATTTATCGCGTCGTGTGGAATTTGTGTATATGTGGATATGTATAACTGTGCATATAAAAGATTCGAAAAAGCTGCGAGAATGATTACAAGAATGGCTCGAAATTATTTTCAGCTAGAGAAACGTTCAGCTAGAGAAACTTACCTTACTGAAGGGCGAGCAAAAAAAAAGAAGAAATATTTTCAAATCATCCCACGCACTGCTGGCATGCAGGGATGTTTGCTTGGATGTAGCAAGGCGTATAGATCAATGTGAAACCTTTTAATGTGATACATGTTTTCCCTTCGTATTTCATATTATAGAGATGCCGAGCATATGGAATCAACCATCACGTGTCGTCCAAGTATACACCATAGGTTCGTTTCTCCTAAAATTTCCATTTTCGAACACGAATTACGAAAATGCGTACGAGGATACATTTTTTACATTTCACATTTTGAGCTTGGCGCCATCAAGCTCTTTTTGCATGAAAAATCGCTAGTGCACACTTTAACTCTCACTATATACAACGATGCTATCTTTGTATATGTATATATACGTATACGTACTACATAGATGTTCTAGAAACCTATATTCTTTCATGTTATGAATATTATTACAGGATAGGCTAAGATGATTATTTTGATGATCAATAAAAAAGTATTAAAGTAGAGCAGAGTTTTTAACTGAAATTAAAAATTTTTAAAAGTTTTTAATTGAAATTAAAAAATTTTTATTAATTAAGCATCTCTAAAATTTAATAAATAAGAAAGATATTACATGGCAATGTTTTAAGTTTAACGCAGATTTACTTGATTAAATTTAAGAATTGATATTTAAGAGTTGATATTCAAGATTTAAATATTATATCAAGATTTATGTATATATATATTTAGATATATTTAAATATATATTACTATATTATAGATATTTCTTAATACATTAAAAATGACTAATGTTCATTTTCCGCAAAGTAGTGTACATGTATTAAGGGAAAATTCATTTGAAAGTTATGAAATTTGTGAATAGAAAAAACTTATTTGAGTGTGTGGGTGTGTGTTATGTATGTATTGTTTACATTGGTTCTGAAATTTTACACCCAACACAACTTTTAATAGCGTATGATGCGCATGCAAACACAAAGCTTTTTTGCATATAACTGAAATCTATTAGTTACTTAATACTTAGTCTGAAATTTTAATTATATTATTTATTATAATTAGTTAACTTTATATACAATTATGATACATTTTACGTAATTGTATTTTTTTGTTTTTAATTATTTGTTATTTTCATTTAGTAACACCAATCAATCCAAATTTCTACACCTGATCACTGGCGATAATTTCTACAAAGTATTCTATATTTTTATAATTCACACCTAAGATCAATATATACGTCGAAAATGTACTTTTATACAATACATTTCAATACAATATATTTCACGTATTGCAGTATTATTGCAACATCGTTATTGCAGTCACATTAATGTTGGCACTGAGGAACACTTTCAAAATTATTTGGCAAGATAATTGACTTAATTGTTGTAGAGTTTTGGTCAAATCTATTGTATTATCAAATCACTGCTGCGATCTGTGCATCGAATCAGGTTTGAGATCAAGAAGACATAAAACATGCTTGAAAGATCACAGTGGTTTATTTAAATTTTAGTTCTTACACATCCTCATTCCCATCACAATTCGCTTTTCTTAATGCAATATTCCTCTCCAATTCGCACACTTATAACTCGCACACTTAACTTCCTCAGTGAAATGATGAAATTGTATAAAGTATATTAAAATATTAATAACTTAATTAAAAATTTGTCGATATAATACTTTAACATTAATTTAATTAAGGTATTAATTTTAGTGAGTGAGTTAGGATTATATAATAGAATAGAATATATAGAATTTTGATACGTTTAGAAAATTCGATATAAGATGGTTTATATATGAAACAGTAAAAAAATACTTTAATAATATGTATATTAGAAAATTTGCTCTTAAAATTTTTTTTTGTAACTGTAAATATATTATATATTATACTCTTATAGAGTGTAATATGTACAATATAATGTAGAATATAATAGAATATCGATTACTTTCCGGATGTATATCGCAATTTATTATAATTTGTTTTTATGATTCGCGAACAATAAAAAATTATTTTATCACATATACAGAATTGATTTACGAGTCATAACATGATAATCTTTTAAACAAATTACATTTCTGGCTATCTATCAATTCACGACATTTATAACGTAAAAAGAACTTAAATAGCTAGATAACGCAAATTATTGGGTTGGAGAAAAAGTTCTGCGGAATTTTGTTAGCTCAAAATTATATACAGAATATATTTGTTGCAAAATTTTCGACTATCTGACGTAAAAGCTTAAAATTTTTCCTAAATGCTTGTTTTTAAAAAATGTTTTTACGACTTTTTGTTACTAAGTTATATGCGGATAAAATGAAAGAACATTGTGATTGCTCATTACTCCGTTAAAAATCATTGTACTGTAATTAATAAAACAGATTTTTAAAGCTGAAACGTTGCTCTATCAAGTGATGTAATTGTTAAAAAAATTTTTTTAAAAGTAGAATATATGCACATTTGAGACAAAAATGTGATATTACTAAGGATAGTAATATCACATTTTTAACTCAAATTTCTATGTATTTTATACTTAAAAAAATTAGCATGATATTATTAGATAGAGTAACGTTCAGTTTTAAGAATCTTTTTTAATTGCAGTGTTGATGATAGTATAGATTTAGATAGTATAGATAGTATAGATAGTATATTTTAGATAGTATAGATAGTATAGATTTTTAATAAAGTTATGAGCAATCAAAGTCAGAATACTCTTTTTCACTTAACTCGCAAATAACCCAAGAACAAAAATCATTTTGTAGAAACGTTTTTAAAAATGATTTTGTAAGGAAAACTCCAAACTTTCACGATATACCTAGATAGTCGAAAATTTTCGCAAATTTTTTTGGCATGTGACAGATCCACAAAGTGAGAAGAAAAATTTCCCTTTTTTTCTTATAGTTTTTTATATATAAAAATTATAAAACTCATATAATTAAAAAAAATATAGTAATCATTCAAAAGTAGAGATTTTAAGCTTAAAACCCTTTTTTTAAATTTTTATTATTTTTAATGAAAATATTGTATATATAATTTTGTGAGTTAACAAAATACCACAGAACCTTTTTTTCCTCCAATCCAATACATTAAGTCAAATAACATAAGCCAATATGAAAGAATACATCAGTCTTTCCTTCTCGGTCATAATGATGTGAAGCAAACCCAAATACGGATTTTAAACAAGTCAGTACAATGATCAATGATTTTTGAAAACACCAAGTATCTTGATACTCGATCATGTATAGCAAAGGTAGGCGTTTTGTTCATGTATCAACGACGAACTGAGTTAGTTCGTCAGTGATCTATAACGTCACTTTCCAATTTTCGCCTATAGACGACTAGCGGATGAAGATGACGAGCTATCAGAGGTGCAGCCAGATGCGGTACCACCAGAAGTGCGTGAATGGCTGGCATCGACTTTCACTAGGCAACTCGCCACCACTAGACGGAAAGCTGATGAGAAACCAAAATTCCGCTCGGTCGCTCATGCTATCAGGGCAGGCATATTCGTCGATCGAATCTATAGGAGAGTTACAAACACCGCCCTCATGCAATTTCCGCCGGAAGTCGTGAAAGTACTTAAGGTAATCTGTCGCGCAGCTAAGAAAATATGTGTATCTTTATATGATGTGATTTAACAATAAATATATTATGGCGTAAGCATAAATATTACACTCAGAAAGATTCAGAACACACGTCTAGCTACAACTTACATGCGTTTTTTATACTTTGGAAACTTTAATTTATATATCTTCGTTTTCAATCAAAAATTACTTGTCTACTATTGACTATTAATCAACAAAACAAATTTTTAATCGAAAGATCGATCAGGCTATTATTAAGCTCGAGAATTCTTGAAATTTTAAGTGTTCAAATTGCTTTCTTTATCGTTCAAGACTTTAGATGATTGGTCGTTCGATGTATTTTCTTTGAACGAAGCCGCTCTGGGGACGCCAGTGAAATATCTGGGCTATGACCTGCTCAATCGATATGGTATGATTCACAAGTTTAAAGTACCTCCTGCAGTTTTGGAGTGCTTCCTCGGAAGAGTTGAAGAGGGTTATTGCAGGCATCGAAACCCATATCACAACAACCTCCACGCTGCTGATGTTGCGCAAACGATGCATTACATCTTGTGTCAAACTGGTTTGATGGTGAGTACTTTTCTAAGAGAGAGAGAGAGAGAGGGGGGGGGGGGGGGGGAGGGAGAAAAAAAGAGGGTAGAAGAGAGGAAGAGGAAAATATGTACATAGTACTTTTATGACTTACTTTGTATTTATTTACTTGTGGTAAAATTAAAAAAACAATAAAGATATTTCTTGATTATATAACGAGCTAGTACTTAATTAATTAATAATTTATTTTCATGAGTTTTGTTGAATTCTCATTATTATTAGCATATATGTATTTGTATTTAACATATTAGGATACATATTAAGTAGTAAACTTAATTCCTGCCGTCTCCAAAATTGATTTGTTTCAAAGGGAAGGTGAATGAATACCTAAAATAAATGAATACAAAGCATTTGAACTGGATTCTCATCGAGCAATTCTTGCAGCACATCTTTAAATTTTTTGGCTGTCTGAATATTCTTTATTTCTCACGACAAAATCACTGTTTTAGCGTTCAAACTGAACTCTACATGTTCTTTTGGAAGAAGTTTTATACACTTCGGATAATAAGTGATGTTTCAGCTGCGATTTTCTTAAGGTCGAAATAGTGAAGAAGCATATGTTGGAAAAACAGCTTATCGCGCTTCATTTTCAGTCGATTGGAAAATCTCTTTAGTATCGAGAAATCTAACCTGTGAGCAGTGTTACCGCGGATCAAAAAATAATTTCACTAAGTCCCTGCTTCAAAAGTCACTAAAAGATCTCAAAAGTTACCATCTTTCGGTAAATTTCACGTATTAGATAAGTCTCTAGAAATGCGATTGAATGATTTTGTTATTTACTTAATGCGTAAAATTTGCCAAAAGAAGTGGAACAACCGGTCTTAATATATAATAAGATTATAACAATCTTTCTCCATGTACCATTATCGACTATATTTTTTAAAAAATAACTATAATAAATCAATTATAGAATCATTGACAAAACAACTCATTATACTTTAGTCTGTGAAATTTAAAATGAAACCTATAAATCATATGACTAAATTGACTGCGTTTAACTAGAAAACGCAACTTTAAGATTCTTGGTTAGTTTATGTTAATATGGATCAATAATTTAGATCCAATGAGGAACTGAAAACAAGAAGAGTAGAGGACGCTGATATAAAAATTCACTAAATAAAGAAAGTTTACTAAATCCACCAAAAGACCTTAAAAATCATTAAATTAATGAAAAATCACCAAAAAACTGCAACATTGCTTGTGAAGACTGAATCAATAGACCTGTTTCTTTTTGATTGAATTTTTGTACCAGTTCATCTTTCTTCCTCTTCTTTCCTCTTGCAGAAAAAAAATGAACTTGTGCAAAAATTCAGTCAAAAAGAACAGGTCTACTTTCAACAATGTCTGAACTATACAAAAGACGAATTGCGACTTCACCGTCGAAAGTTTCGACTCGAAATTCGCCAGTGTTGGAGCCAGCACCCTCTAGTAGCGAGCGGCAGGAATTAAGTTTATCACCTAATAAATATATAATCTAGACTATTAGCGTGTATAAATATATACTTTTGAAAAAAAGAGTTAATATAATCTTCTTTATATATTTTTCTTTATATCGAAAAAAAAGGAAAGAAATCATAGGTATAAGATAACTGCAAATAATAAAAAAAAGTTTTATTGGTTCGAATTGTTGATGAGTTTGATAAAAAGAAAGGATCCCTTCTATTCAGTTTGAGCCTGCCATTTCTTTGATGATTCTTTGTTCGATATGCATTGTACACGAGATAGCTTCAGGTTGATATTATTCGTTGCAGAATTGGTTGACCGATCTCGAGATTTTCGCTACCCTTGTGGCAGCGATTATTCATGATTACGAGCATACTGGGACCACAAACAATTTCCACGTAATGTCCGGTAGTGATACAGCACTCCTATATAACGACCGAGCTGTGCTAGAAAATCATCACATTTCGGCCAGCTTTCGGTATATACAAATTCTATTTTGCGATAATTATTGCAGTCTCGAACAGTTCGCAGTTTAACGGATTTTAAGTAATCTTTAAAAATTAGTTTATACAAATGTTAAAGTAAAATTTTAAATATCTTTAAATATTTTGTAATATCGATCAATATTTAATTTTTTTCTTTTCGTTTTTCTTTCTTTTTTCAAAATCTATTTTTATTTAAATATTATAGCTTTATAGAACAAAATAATATTATCATTATTTAGATATTTAGATATTATCATTATAGAGATTACATTAATATCTCATAAAATTGCATGTTTTAGGATACTGAGAGAAGATGATTGTAACATACTACAGAACTTGTCAAGAGAGGAATTTCGAGAATTTCGATCACTTGTGATTGACATGGTTCTTGCCACCGACATGAGTTTTCATTTTCAACAGCTAAAAAATATGAAAAATTTACTAAGTTTGGCAGAGCCAAGCGTGGATAAGAGCAAAGCCGTTAGCTTGGTCCTCCATTGTTGCGATATCTCGCATCCTGCCAAAAGATGGGATCTTCATAATAGGTGAAGCTTTATTGCTCAGAGAGAATGTTAATATTTTTTCTCTTTTAATTTGATACAATATGGCCTGTTAGAAATTATTAGGTGTTGGAATTAATTCGTAGCGTTTTTTAATGAAAGAATGTTATTTATTTCACATGAGCATTAAAAAATACATTAATGAAAGTACTTCCCATCACTTGTAAAACGCTACGAATTAATTCCAACACCTAATATTAGAAAGTAATAATTTTTACAAAATTTTTACATATATTTTTAAAGCTAAGTAAAAAGATAAAAGAAAAGTTGGAAAAAAGATTTCTTGCTAGTAAACTGATAAATTGTAATAAAGATTTCTCTTTTATTAATTTATATTCTAATAAAAACAGAAATAAAGCGATATATTAAAATAATATTTGTAATTTTCAATTCATACAGATGGACAATGCAACTTCTTGAAGAGTTTTTCAGACAAGGTGATAAAGAGAGAAAGCTTGGATTGCCATTTTCTCCTCTATGCGATCGCAATAATACGTTGGTAGCTGAATCTCAAATAGGATTCATAGAATTCATTGTCGAGCCTAGTATGCAAGTATGTAGTGACATGCTGGAAACCATTCTTGCGCCACTCAATGTCAAGGACACTACGGATGAACCTAACAATGGTAAAACTTCTCTTTAGTTATATACATAAATATATATATATATATAATATATATATATATATATATATAAATGAATTAAATCAAAATTGGAACATGCCAATATAAACCACGCGATACGGGAAGTTGATGTGTATATACTTTATTAATTATTGGGAATAATCTATGTCTCACTCACAAACGTTTCGATTCTTCATTCGGATCCTCTTCAGTGTAAATTTCTTTACAAGTATTTATCTACTGTACAATTATGGACTGAAAAGTAGCGACACTTTTTTTTCGATGATTTTTGGAATACCCAAAAATTTTCAGAATGCGATTTACTATCTATCGATGCGTGTGACGAGCGATTATATGACAACTGTCAAAGTCATACAAAATCAAAGTATACATGGTGAACTTAAGAAACGTATCTTATGCGCCGCAATAAAATATTTGAATATCGCAAGATCAGCGTAAAGAGTAAAACCAATTAGATAAATTTATTTTGTAAATTTATTTGCATCTTTTACGCGAGTTTAACATTAAAAATTAATATAAGATAACATATAAAAAATGAAATTATAATACGTAATAAATATAATAATTTTAATAATTTTTTATGCAAAAGATAACTGTTTGGGATTCTGAATATAGAATAGTATTTTCATTTTCAGAACATTTTTGCGGATAATATATAGAGACGACTACTTGGCAACATTTCAACCTAATTTGCAGCTTTGTCATAAATCTTCCTGTTTTTAAATGCTCATGTATAAATCTATCTCAAGCGTATTTATACTTAATCAAGCGTATTTATACTTAAATTATACGTTAATATTATAATTTTTCTAGTTTAAATTTTATATTAATCAGTATCATATAATCAAACATAAATAACAAGAAATGGTTACAAATGAATTTTTATGTATTTCAAATTCTTAGAACATACGTTTCAAAAAATATAACCGATAATATTATCAGACTAAATACAAGTAGTATTGCATTGTTGCGGAAGATAAAGTTACGAAGTAATACTACCAACTTTGCGTAACTATAAATTGTACTTAACCGTTTTATTAATTTTGTTAAATTTATATTTCTTTACACATACACTGAGGATAATCTAATAATAAGGTTGAAACATTCTAAGAATTCGAAATACAAAAAATTTGGATTGTAGCCCCTATGATTATCTTTATTTAATCAATAATGTTTTTATTAATTATAATTATTATATTAATATATATTTAAGTATAAATACGCTTGAGATGGATTTAGACGCGAATATTTTAAAACAGGAAGATTTATGACAAGACTGCAAATCAGGATAAAACTCAACTGAGTAGCCACCTCTACAAAAATGTCCTTAAAATGAAAATATTTTGTATTTAGAATCCCGGTTAAAAACAGTTTGCATGAAAAATTATGGTAAAATTCCTGTTTAGGAGAACCCTTTTCGATGACCTTGAGTTTGATATATGTTATCAAGGTCATGAGTGATCTCCAACAAGTTTTAGTCGTCCTTCGTTAAAAAGTGATGAACAAAAAAAAGTTTCGAAAATAACGTCTTACTTCTGCTATATATATCATATCTCCTAAACCATATCCAATTGCCAATTGGTATTTTTCCACAGCGCACAAGATATGTTTCTACTCTAGTATGGTATTCATCGTATGGGTATGGGTTCAACGTACCCTATGTGATTTTTTTACATTGCTGTAACTTTTTTATAATATAATTTGAACGATTGAGGCTGAAAAAAAACTTTAATTGTTCATAGATATGATAAGTCTGCAAAGGTTTTTTTTTGCATTATTCTCGATGTGAGAATGCAAAAATGTGAGAATGAAAGTTCAAAGAGGACCCATAACATGTAATTAGCTTGTAGTTTTTGGCGTTCTGGGTACTTTTTTATTTTTTATTAAATATACATTTATTGAGTTTCGGATAATATAAAAGTAAGTATACGAAAATGTAGAACTAAAAAAAATTATATTTCAATATAATAAATAGTAAGAATTTTATAATTTCAGACTTCAGAGATCGTTTGGCTGGGGCGGATTTGCTTTAGAGTGAATGCATCATCCTCTAAACTAAATCCTAATAAACTTAATTATATATACTATAATAATATTTATACATGTACAATCCTTTACCTATCATTTTATACTGTTCAAATAATAACATTTTATTTATTAATTGTAAAATTATAATATGTAGATATGTTTTAGGGGGGATTATTAACATTTCAGATCAATTGCGTTAATGTCGACAACCATATCGACACGTAATTATCATTTCTGAAATTCATTCATTCGTTTGAAAAATATATATATTAGTTCAACATCTTAATACTTAGACCGTAGTGGCGCTTCGTGTTTAAAGTAATGTTATATAATATGTAGATTTTTCAAAAATGTCGATTTTCGATAGTTTAAATAGTTATACCTTTTTGAGCGATTCATATCGTACTATTTTTTTTTGATAGTCCAAAGAGTCAACTAAAAAAATCCTATTGGTTTTTGTTTGAACATTAAATTTAAAAATTTGAGAATTTTTTATTCAAAGTATTCATTTTTTGTGAATTTTTTCAATAAAATTTTTTTGAAGCATTGTAATTAACTAAAAATAAAATATTTATTTGATATTTATCTACCTTCGTTTGACTCTAAAGTATGAATTTCACACATTTTGAGCTAAAAAATACGTATTTCAGTCCAAAGATAGCATGACAAAGTTGCAGAGTTTCACAAATCCTAGTATTAGCGGGAAAAAAACCAAAAATAGTAATACTATACCAGGATTAACTTTACCATGTATTTCTATTCGGTATGACTTTGACATAACTGCTGTCCTAACCGTTCGTTACATACATCGATAGACTCGATGGTGACTCTGAAAATATTTGAGTATTCCGAAAATCGTAGAAAAAAAAGTGTCGCTACTTTTTTGCCCATGACATAGAATCGCTGTTAATTCTTTTTAATAGTACAACTGAAAAGTATAAATGAATGTTCGTAATGTTCGTAATTTATTCGATATTATATTTTTTATATAGTAAATCAGATAATTTAATGAGGTTTTAGACGAGTTATGAAAATTTAATGTCTCGTTCGTTTATATTTTTTAATTGTACTATTAAAAAAATTAACTTTATGGCGGTTTTATAATATACTACAGTAGATGAATATTTGTGAAGGACTCTACATTGAAGAAGATCCGAAACCAAGGGTCGAAATATATTTTTGTGAATGATATAGATTATTCTTATAGATCCCTGGCGAAAAAATACGTATTTCTACTTCCATGACATAGAATCGCGTTGTTAAAACATAATTACGCCAAGCTACGCGATTTTATGTGAAAAATATAAAATGGCGTATTTGGATCTAATTAGGCACAGAAAGTACGTCAAAGTACACGCAACTAATCATTACTTTCTGAATTATTCGTTTTTATGTCGAACTACGCCAAACTAATTTTTATTCTTTCATAGTATTTGAAGAAAGTATGCCATTCTACGTTTTTTTGTGCGGAATTACACTTTACAATCTGATATATAGTTGGGCATAAAAATAACGGCAAACTACGCATTTTTATGTGAAAAATGTTAAATAGCGTACTTGGACCTAATTAAGCGCAGAAAGTACGTCAAAGTACGCGCAACTAATGATCATTACTTTCTGAACTACATTTCTGTGCAGAACTTCTCTAAACTGGTTTTTATTTTTTCGTAAATATTCGGAGAAAATATCCCAGATAGCAAGATGTCGTCTATTTAACGTCATTAATTAGTCATTCTTATGACGAATGTGATGTTTAAAATGTCGTCCAAACATTGTAAAAATGACGTGAATTCTTATATTTCTTATTACTCACACAATGTTTTAAACTGACATAAAAAAATGCATCATTATTTTCGTGTTATTAAAGGAATAACTGTATGACGTTATTAATTGATCACTAATAATGTTACTAGTACGTCGATAATTAACCATTTATTCGATGTCATTAAGTATAACATTATAAAGACATCATAAATAAATGACGTCATTAATTGGTCAAAAAAGATGACGTCATTATCTTAATATGCCGACAGAGGACTGCCGACGGCGGAGATGCATAAACTTGAAAATAAGAATCACCTGAGAAAGAATATAGGAGCACAGCATTTCTTACATGAAGTAATTAGGCGTACTTTCTAGCGCAGTTTGCCGCAATTTAGCGTTGTTTGGGGTACAAAGCCATGAATCGGCTTACTTTGGCATAGGAGTAGAATTCTATGCTCAACTACTTTCGTGTTACCATATATTTAGGAATAATTTTTAGCGTACTTCAGCATAGAAATTTTTCCGCTAGGGATAATAAAACATATACATATATACCTTTTTGTGTTAGTTCATATTGACACATTGATCAACTCTGATATATACAGAGTGAATGTTAATGAATATCCCAATTTTTTATCATGGGAAGTGAGTTATCGACTATACCACCATTTAAATAATCATAGCTGCGTCAATGGTTGCGACACCCATTAACATTCACCCTGTACATATATATATATGTATATATATATAGAGGGTAAGATCAGGGACTGCGTTAGAGTATTTGGCGCTCCCTCGCAAATTTTAAACGCCTATAAACATATAAGGTTTCTAATTAGTTATCAAACCTACGATTTACAACCCAAAACTAACGGATGTTCTGAGAACTTTTTTTTTTATACGATTTATATATGTAGATAGTACTTGGAGAAAATAACGTGCTTATAAAGTCTAAGTCTTCTTTTGTTCAGATGTTCAAAACTTTTAAAGTACGTCAGACTATGCGCGTGATTCACGATTCAAAAACAGTTGTACAGGATTTACACTATTTTGAACATTCGACATGATGATCCAATATCTATAATAATAAAAAAATTTATTTTCTAGATACAAAAATGTTATCAAACATTGCATATATTTCTTTACACAGTAATTTCTACTTGTATAAAATATTTGTTAAATATTTTTCGAAA